GGCGTCGAGCCGAGACAGTTTTATCGGCGCGGAGGCTAGAGAAGCCAAGGTGTCGTAATCGTAATTCCTCCGTGGCTTCTTAGTCCGCCCGAGCAAATCGTCAGCATTAGCATAAATAATTGGCGTGACGAGCGCTTGACAGGCGCGAACCCCGGGGCGCCTCCTCTCCCCGTCTAAATAACGGCGGGAGCGGACGGGCACGATGACAGCCGAGGCGAATCTCAATGCGCGTGCACCCATTGTTGCGATAGAGCGAGCCGTCCCTTTATTCGAAATCTATGGGTTTCGAATGCCGCCCAAGGAAGGAGCGCGCGGCTCACGCATAACTTTCACGAGAACTCGTTTTCAAAATCGCGCGGAACACTTGGCGCCAAGGGGGATCGGAACTGTCGCTTATCGAAGCCTTTCTCTTCCCTCCTACTCGATCCACCTCCTCCTCGATCACCCCTTCGCGCACGCACGCATACAATCGGCTAATCATTGCTTATCATCGATTCGGATGATCGGTCGAGTGCGCATGGCGAAATTAGACCGATAGAGAAGGTGTGAATGTTTGAGGTGACGAAGGACTCGAAAGATCCGAGAGAGAACTCGGAGACGAGGAACATGGAGACTTGACGTATATCCTTAGTCGTAGCTTTAGCGTGACTTTGTTCGCGACTTTGGGAGTCTTGGAGCTCAAGCACCTCTACTGCAAGGACAAATTTTACTCACAGATTATATCGTAATTGAGCGCGTAGCGTAGTTGAAAAAAAAAAAGGGCTGCGCAACCGCTTGTGATCGCCTCGGAAAATCCCCATTTATTTCGATATGACGATCAATGGCTCGTGCGCATTAATAGCTCGGTACATAAGACTTTTGCCGGGAGATCCGTGAGTACTTGAATATTGCGAAAGCTCCGATAGTCTTACTAGCTTGCACATTATTAAAATCGGTCTGTAGTCGAAATGTTAGGAATCGCCCGTTCTATTATGCCGAAAATACGGGCGCGACGGAGATGTTGCATATCGCTTTTTGCCGTAAGAACGGAGTGTTGCTGCAAGTGCCATTGGCGAGCCAAGCTTACGTATCGTACAAACGTATCGCTCATTGTAAGTGCGATGTCAACGCGTCATATTGAAATGCAAATTAATTTAGCCATTTACAAGACATTATTCGGATTTGCAGTTTCGCAGTTTCGCAGTCGTAGGTGCCGAAACTCGACGCTCGCAGCGATAAAATTCGCGCGTATGATTCAAGACTATAATGTCGGAGCGATTGAATCGCAGCAATGAATATCTTGGTAAATTCAATCCACGCTCCTGTAAACAACGAATATCGGCGCCGCCCTCAAATAATGCCCGGCTATATACGTATCCGACGTCGCGTTGGGGTAAACCAGCCGTAAAATACAGAGGGGGAAAGGAAGCGCGTCGCTGTCGAGCTCGACGACTTTCTGACGTGATTATGCTAATGTCGCGAGGGCCGCGCTCCATTGTAAGTGCGTTTCGCCTCGGGTCGCGCGCATTAACTTCGCGGAACAATGGCGTCTTCCCGCCGGCGGCATCCAAGCCAAATCCTGACGAGCTGCGAAAATTGGCGATGCGAGCGCCCGCTCGAGCTACTCTATTTTCACGATGTTTTCACGATCTCTCATAAAATAAAAAAAAAAACAAACAAACAAACAAACAAACAAACAAAAAAAAAAAACTTGATGCACTTACAGAGGAATTTGTTTATTGTGGAGTATTGTGGAGTCGACGTATTTAGCTTTGATCTTAATAGGGGGGACAATAATGTATTCTGTCCCTCTCTCCCTTCCCCCGTCCTCGGTCAGATCATAAATTAATTTCCTCTCAAAATCGTTGACAGATTTTTAAAAAATATTGAAACGTGCTTTTAGGTCGCATATGGTTTACGTATTCTTAAATTCTCATTATAGTATCATAAAAATTTGGATTTTACGGTCTTCTAATGTTGTCGATTTGCTGATTATTTAGCGATTCGTGTTCCCATTAACAACCGTCGGCTCTGCTTATATTAGATTATTATATTGTTTTTATTTTTAAGCGCACTTAGCTTACTTATTTCATTGCATTATGATATTGAAAATACTGTTTGGCAGATGCAATCGATGAAATATCACGTATTTCTAATCAATATCATAAATTTTGAATTAAAAAATGGTACAAAATGAAAAGAGAAAGAAAAAAAAAATCATGCATTTGAAGGTATGATATTCGTGAAAAGCTCTCTTTACAACTAATTGTTGGCAATTTCTTACAGATATTCGATGATATTCAGAATATTTACAACGAATAAATTCTCGCAGATTTCTGTTATACCCTTATATCTTATTATATACACTGGATTATGTAAATTGATGTAAAGCAATGTAATATTATTACAAAATTAGCGAATATTTCATTGTGCATCCGCACGAAGCACAAAAGTCACGAAAATCTTAATATAGAAACTAAATAAATTGGATTTTCCATCAAAATATTTTATTGATATTCAAATGAAAAAAATATTTTTTTTTTTTTTTTTTTATAATAAATAATTCAAAATATAAAAGATTAATATGGCTATTCGATGATAAACTGATCAACGGAAACACGATTTTCTAATATTCACCACAGTATGTTGATATGAATAACGTAATAGACGTCAAGTCTACGAATTCGAATAAAATTTTAAGTACATGACCACGTTTAAAATGAAGTAAATTGATAATTTATGATTCTACGCTTAAAAAAATTGCATATTCGAATATGTCTCAAAACACTTATTATAAATGATAATATTAATGCTACTCATTTTTAACCGACAATAATTTAATAATTTACAAAGTATTTTCAAAAACACGATTCACATGGTTATTACGATTTATCAATTACGATTTTACGATTATTTATTAATAAAAGCAGAAGAAAAAATAGAACCGAAAAGACAAAATATAATTTAACATTATTTCGATGAGATCCTGGGTAGATCTTTAGTTATTAGTATTCCATTATATTTTGCCCTTTCATCACGTATACAACACGTAAAACAACATAAAACAATATAGCGCTGCATTTTATATTACTTTACAATAAAAATATAAATTCATTTAATATTATTATATCATAAAAAGTCTTGAGTTTGAATTATAAGAATAATCATTGAATAAAAAATAGACGAATAACTTAAGATTATGTGTGCCCTTAATATCAAAATTAATCTTTTTTTATTTAAAACTGTGAATGTATCATATATTTATTATTGTTGTAGGTAGTCTTTTGTGGATTAAAATTTCCCCTTTTCGTTATCGTTATGCTCATCTACAGTACTACGAAAAATCATTTTGTCCTCGCTTTTCGCCCTCTATAGATGTCAAAGTATGACAGCTCTTTTCACTCGCCACTTTCTCTCCTTCACTGTATTATTAGGCGAGGGTTGAAACTGTACTTTGAAATGAAAAAGTTACATTAAATTTTTTAATAAAACATTTACAAACATTTAATTATTATTTTATATTTAATTACATTTAAACAAATATCAATTAAAAAAAAAAAAAAAAAAAAAAACGCACGCGTACACGCATGTACACATAGCTAATGTTTTAATTAATATTCCATAAACTTTATACGTAAATGTGTGTGTGTGTGTGTGTGTGTTTAAACATATCGTTACAAACTATACCTTTCCTCGGAAATATTATATAAATCCTGATATTAATTACAAAATTTTTGGTTCTACATTATCTATAATTCTTGATACGATACATTTGTTATACGTTGAATAAGAAAAAAAAAAATTTATCTAGACTAAATGAAGACAGTTCTTTGATATAATTCTTTTATTTATTTAATAGAATGTTAAAACGACAGTTGTAATATAATTACAGTAGAAAGCATACATATAACTGTATAAATTATAATTTTAAATAATATCCAAGGCACAGGTGAAATTACAAAATCGAAATTGACATGTCAAGAACAGTAGCTTATTCTTTTTTATGTGTTATCATTTAATGGTTTTTATTAAAACTTGACTATATGAAGGTAAATTAAAATTTTCTTTCACACAGTTTTGTAATGGCTAACCAGTGGACGATCAATGTTGTAAAATTAATGAATAAATTTCCATAATTTTTAAAAATAACTAGAAACAAAACTTCATTCTATATTATTTTCCATCGCATTTCTGGCATTACAATTTAACCAAAATTTTACATTCTAATAATACCATGTTCACTCCTAAGATAGATATAAGAGATAAATCTGGCTCCTATGCTCATAGCTTTTATATAGAAATATCTTCTTAACAATAATCAAATATTTAAAGAAAAGATTAGAAAGTAAAACAGTAATGAATATTGAGTCATAGTATATTTAGGCATAGCAAATTAAATGATATTTCTTGATTTCATAGTATAGATATAATGGAGCATTAAATCTCAAGTTTATTCCATTAATAGTATTTAAATGAACTTTTAAGCAGAAAAATTCAATCTATTTATCACATTTTGTAAATCTGTTTTAAAAAAACATGTACAATATTTAATTTTTAAACATATTATTAGCTACACATTCGATATTATGCATTGAATATTATCTTGAATTTCATATTTGGATCCGTTAAACGTTAAACTTAATTGATGTTAATTAGATAATTGGCTATTATATATGCACGAATGTGTGTGTGTGTGTGTGTGTGTGCGTGTGTTAGTTCGCGTATGTGCCTGTGTTAAATAAACAAGGAGTGAAGCAATATTAAGAGATTTTGAAAAATAAATATTAATAAAATAAAATAACAGCCTAATAGAAATACAAAAAAAAATTAATCCTAAATAAATTCTTATGTTCCTTACAAATCTAATTGTCTAGACAGTAAGCACAAAAAACAAAAATAAAATGCCATCTATTATAAATAATTATACAATAAAGTAGATTTATGCATAATTGATTATTTGAATGTCATTATTTACAATTAGCCCTACTGAATTAATACGAGCTATTTTATATTTGTAACTTTATATAATAAGTTAAATATTAAATATATATAGATAATATATTTTATGTAGATGATTCGGTTTTAGGAGGTGGCATATTAGGCTTATAAATATGATGATAGCCCAGTAACATTTTCATAAGATATTCTAGTTGTCCCAGTTGAGGCTGAAATAGAATTTTTTTGTATTATTATTAGAGAAACGGTATAGATTGATTTGCATATGTGAGACAATTGATTTTTTATCGTAATCCTTTATACGACTTATACTTACATATGGCTTATCATTCATTTCTCTACGATGACATTGGCTACCATATATTATTGTATTTTCAGGGACAACCTCTTCGTCTCTTAAAGAACAACTTGCTCCAATTACGCATCCGTTTGTTAATTCTACTTGCTTACTTACATAGGCTAATACAATATTATTTGATTATTCCAGCAAAATTATATAAATATGTAAGATTGACTGAATATATGAGAATTCTTAGAATCTTACCTTTACATTCTAAAACATTATTATCACCAACTTTAGATGCTTCGCATGTGCTATCTACTTCAAATACATTGTAGTTTCCAATAATTTGAACAGGTGTACCAGTATCATCCGGTGATATCCTAAATTGACAAAAAAATAGATTTATATTTAGATTCGGTAGGAGCACATTTTACAGAATACTCTACCTGTTAATTATAGTTGACATTTCTTCAATTATATTGCCTTCTCCTATGATTATTGGGCCTGCTTCAGCTATAATACTTGCCCGTGGATGGACGACAGTATGTGAACCGATTGTTATATCTCCTTTTAATATTGCCTCTTCACATACTAATGCACCACTTCCAATTTTTATACTATACATTGAATTAAGAATACATAAATTATTTAATTTATTTTTTTTATTTATTTTATTAATAATTATATAAACGTCACAATGGCCTAATACAACATAACCTATTATATTTCAATCGATTCTTATTTAATGCGACTGTATTACTTTCATTCAACATGATACATTTATTCTGCTTAAAAATAATATCAACTAATTGAAAAAACGTATAAAGTCATTCTTACTTGAAGCGTCGACTAGAAGGAGACATTAAATCTGACATTTTTAAGCTAGTTTATCCAGGGCATTCGAACAGTTTAACGAAAAAATTCTTTTATCAATATTATAACAAAAAGATGCCGCCATTAAAAGTATTTAGCGGGAAATACAAAAAGAAACTCTTATTCCGAATGAAGTACATATGGATTTTAACATATAATAATTTGAGCATTCGATCAATCTGATTTAAATTGAATTCTCTTAATCTGAATTTTTATATAATATTTTCTCTCTCTCTCTCTCTCTCTCTCTCAACTCAATTAATCTCATTACAAAAAGATCTACGAGTGTTTTTCTTTCCTTTTTTTTCTTTTAATTTTATCTGTATAATAATTAATAATTTGTATTGGCAAAGTATAATAAAGTACTGTAGACTAGTGAGAATATTAAATCGATATGATTTCATAATAATAGCTAAATAACAATTAGTAAAGTAAAAAGAAATTATTTATTAATTGGATAATTTTAACAAACTGCAACGTGGTTGGAATTTTTTTCGTGACTTGTGTTTAAGTTACTGAGATAAGCTCGATTCTTTATCAGAAATAGTATAAAATATTATCTGATAGCCATTGTAATCACTATTGCTTTAAATAAGTTTCTGTACATATTACTTTTGCATTTGCATTATTGGTCATTATTTTGCCTTTTGAATTATTTTATCAAAACACATTTTTGTACTGAATTAATTTCTCGACTACGTAATATCAAATTAAAAAAATTATTTTTAATTTAAGTAATCTTGCATATTATATATATATATATATATATATATATATATATATATATATATATGTATGTATGTATAAAAGTATTAATTTGAAAAAGCAAAGAAATAAAAAGGTCTTTGTTTTAATCGAATTAAGCAAGCCTTCCCGATTTCATACTCGAATGGATAAAGACCAGAGAAATTAATCGTATCAGGTGTTCATCGATAAATTATGAGATAGCACTTTGTGACTAGGAAATTTTTTAAATATAACCGTTTAGAAAAAAAATATATCAAAGAAAATGTCTGCATTACAAACACATACAACATATACAATTAATCGTATAATTGTTAAAGAATTCAGACTCTACTCTTTTCTAAAGAAACGCTACGTGTTGCGAAAGAGGTAATTGATAAAAAATATTAATAACAATCACTCCAGTTGATAAAGATAGAGAAAGCATGAGTCACTCGAAAAGTCTCGGGACAATATAAATTGAGTTTGAGGGATTCGCTTGCTTTCCAAACTTAACTGAAAAGCCGCAAGGTTATACGCAATTCATTGAAGTTTCACTCCACAGTCATCGAATGCGTATATGCCCGTTGGCTTGTACTTACCAATATTTTTTCGCATATATTTGCACTACAATACCAAGTAACTCGGCTTCATTTAACGAGTCCTTATGAAATACTTGTCGCGTATCTCTTGGTTGTGCGTTAACGATGCACAGACTGTCGTCATTTTCCAATAGTCACAGGCGCAAATTGCTTCTCGTAATAGACAAAAGTATGATGATTTTTTGATTTATTTCTCTCTTTTCACACAAGTAATGTACTTACGAAAAAAATTTTGTCTGTACATAAAAGAAATACTTTTGTTCCCTTAGCCATATGTAGCTATTAATCGATGCATCACAATAACAAAATACTTTTTTTATTTCTTTTATTCCTTTATTGATAACGTCATTGTTAAATAAGTTATAATAAAAATAATGAATTAGATGTTTATGCTAATCATAAACGTTTAATTTTGAAATATTTTTTTGGCGCATGTGTTCGTGTGTTCGTGTGTTCGCGCGTGTGTGTGTGTGTTCGTGTTCCTTTTTAACAAAAACTGAATACCGTTTGGCTTGGCTTTAATTCTTTCAAGTCAGTCAATCTTAATGACGAATATTAAACTGATTAATTTATGTATTTAGAAATCTGTTTCTAACAACAATATCTTACAAAGAGGATTTCTACTTTAAAGTAGAGTTAAAGAAGAATTTTTTCAAGATAAATGACAAATGAAAAATGACATATGAATATATATATATATTTTTATATTTAGAGATATCATTTACTAAATTCTTACTAATTATGCAATTATAAAATAATAAACTACAAAGCAATAAAGACATTAAATAATGTTTGGCTTTTAAAATAGGAATTTTATCCCGATTCTTATGTATAAATTATCAATAGAACGATGTAATGAAAACAATATTTAAATATAATTTTCTCTACTGTTTTTTCTTTGCAAGCAGGTACAAATTTTTATCATCTCCTTACATATAAATGAAATTACGGTTAGTAAAAATGTAGAGCAAGTAAACAAATGGTAGAGATAAATGTTCAATGTAATGAAAGACATCTACGTTTGAACTTTAGAATGACGACAGTTAGCGATCTTTTTCGAAGTATCAGGGCGAAGATAAAAGAAACGATTATTTTGAGATAAAAGCAACCGTTTCTTTGATACTAGGAAATTCCTTTTTCATAATTTATTTCACAATCTCGTGTAAATAGAAAGAAAATAACATTATTATCGTGATGTTATTTCACGGGATTAAGAAGAAGTGTTGTTGAGCAGGCAATATTTCATTTTTCGCTAAATACAAATGGTACAGCCAATATAGATAATGAAATATGAGAATATTCTAACAACTTGCAAAAAAAAAAAAAAAAAAAAAAATAAAAAAAAAAAAAAA